TTTTTTAAGGAACCTCCATACTGTTCTCCATAGTGGCTGTATCAATTTACATTCCCACCAACAGTGCAAGAGGGTTCCCTTTTCTCCACACACTCTCCAGCATTTATTGTTTGTATATTTTTTGATGATGACCATTCTGACCGGTGTGAGATGGTATCTCATTGTAGTTTTGATTTGCATTTCTCTAATATTTAGTGATGTTGAGCATTCTTTTCATGTGTTTGTTGGCAATCTGTATATCTTCTTTGGAGAAATGTCTATTTAGGTTTTCTGCCCATTTTTGGATTGGGTTGTTTGTTTAATATTGAGCTGCATGAGCTGTTTATATATTTTGGAGATTAATCCTTTGTCCGTTGATTTGTTTGCAAATATTTTCTCCCATTCTGAGGGCTGTCTTTTTGTCTTGTTTATGGTTTCCTTTTCTGTGCAAAAGCTTTGAAGTTTCATTAGGTCCCATTTGTTTATTTTTGTTTTTATTTCCATTACTCTAGGAGGTGGATCAAAAAAGATCTTGCTGTGATTTATGTCAAAGAGTGTTCTTCCTATGTTTTCCTCTAAGAGTTTGATAATGTTAGGTCTTACATTTAGGTCTTGAATCCATTTTGAGTTTATTTTTGTGTATGGTGTTAGGAAGTGTTCTAATTTCATTCTTTTACATGTAGGTGTCCAGTTTTCCCAGCACCACGTATTGAAGAGACTGTCTTTTCTCCATTGTATATCCTTGCCTCCTTTGTCATAGATTAGTTGACCATAGGTGCATGGGTTTATCTCTGGGCTTTCTATCTTGTTCCATTGATGTATGTTTCTGTTTTTGTGCCAGTACCATATTGTCTTGATTACTGTAGCTTTGTAGTATAGTCTGAAGTCAGGGAGTCTGATTCCTCCAGCTGCGTTTTTTTCCCTCAAGACTGCTTTGGCTACTTGGGGTCTTTTGTGTCTCCATGCAAATTTTGAGATGATTTGTTCTAGTTCTGTAAAAAATGCCATGGTAATTTGATAGCGATTGCATTGAATCTGTAGATTACTTTGGGTAGTATAGTCATATTCACAGTATTGATTCTTCCAATCGAAGCACATGGTATATCTCTCCATCTGTTGGTGTCAACTTTAATTTCTTTCATCAGTGTCTTATAGTTTTCTGCATATAGGTCTTTTGTTTCCCTAGGTAGGTTTATTCCTAGGTATTTTATTCTTTTTGTTGCAATGGTAAATGGGAGTGTTTCCATAATTTCTCTTTCAGATTTTTCATCATTAGTGTACAGGAATGCACGAGATTTCTGTGCATTAATTTTGTATCCTGCAACTTTCCCAAATTCATTGATTAGCTCTAGTAATTTTCTGGTGGCATCTTTAGGATTCTCTATGTATAGTATCATGTCATCTGCAAACAGTGACAGTTTGTATTTGTATTCCTTTTATTTCTTTTTCTTCTCTGATTGCCGTGGCTAGGACTTCCAAAACTATGTTGAATAATAGTGGTGAGAGTGGACATCCTTGTCTCGTTCCTCATCTTAGAGGAAATGCTTTCAGTTTTTCACCATTGAGAATGATGTTTGCTGTGGGTTTGTCATATATGGCCTTTATTATGTTGAGGTAGGTTCCCTCTATGCCCACTTTCTGGAGAGTTTTTATCATAAATGGGTGTTGAATTTTGTCGAAAGCTTTTTTGCATCTACTGAGTTGATCATATGGGGTTTTTTTGGGTTTTTTTGATCATATGGTTTTTATTCTTCAATTTGTTAGTATGGTGTATCACATTGACTGATTTGCATATATTGAAGAATCCTTGCATCCCTGGCAAAAATACCACTTGATCATGGTGTATGATCCTATGAGGGTGATGGTGGCCTCATAAAATGAGTTTGGGAGTGTTCCTTCCTCTGCAATTTTTTGGAAGAGTTTGAGAAGGATGGATGTTAGCTCTTCTCTAAATGTTTGATAGAATTCACCTGTGAAGCCATCTGGTCCTGGACATTTGTTTGTTGGAAGATTTTTAATCACAGTTTCAATTTCCTTACGTGTGATGGTCTGTTCATATTTTCTGTTTCTTCCTGGTTCAGTCTTGGAAGGTTATACCTTTCTAAGAATTTGTCCATTTCTTCCAGGTTGTCCCTTTTATTGGCATAGAGTTGCTTGTAGTAGTCTCTTAGGATGCTTTGTATTTCTGCGGTGTCTGTTTTAACTTCTCCTTTTTCATTTCTAATTTTATTGATTTGAGTCCTCTCCCTCTTTTTCTTGATGAGTCTGCCTAATGGTTTATCAATTTTGTTTATCTTCTCAAAGAACCAGCTTTTAGTTTTATTGATCTTTCTTATTGTTTTCTTTGTTTCTATTTCGTTTATTTCTGCTCTGATCTTTCTGATTTCTTTACTTCTGCTAATTTTGGGTTTTGTTCTTCTTTCTCTTGTTCCTTTAGGTATAAATTTAGATTGTTTACTTGAGATTTTTCTTGTTTCTTGAGGTAGGCATGTATAGCTATAAACTTCCCTCTTAGAACTGCTTTTGCTGCATCCCATAGGTTTTGGATTGTCGTTTTTTCATTGTCATTTGTCTCTAGGTATTTTTTGATTTCCTCTTTGATTTCTTCAGTGATCTTTTGGTTATTTAGTAACGTATTGTTTAGCCTCCATGTGTTTGCGTTTTTTACATATTTTTGCCTGTAATTCATTTCTAATCTCATAGCGTTGTGGTCAGAAAAAATGCTTGGTATGATTTCAATTTTCTTAAATTTACTGAGGCTTGATTTGTGACCCAAGATGTGATCTATCCTGGAGAATGTTCCGTGCGCACTTGAGAAGAAAGTGTAATCTGCTGTTTTTGGATGGAATGTCCTATAAATATCAATTAAATCTATCTGGTCTATTGTGTCATTTAAAGCTTCTGTTTCCTTATTTATTTTAATTTTGGATGATCTGTCCATTGGTGTAATTGAGGTGTTAAAGTCCCCTGCTATTATTGTGTTACTGTCGATTTCCTCTTTTATAGCTGTTAGCAGTTGTCTTATGTATTGAGGTGCTCCTATGTTGGGTGCATATATATTTATAATTGTTATATCTTCTTCTTGGATTGATCCCTTGATTATTAGGTAGTGCCCTTCCTTGTCTCTTGTAACATTCTTTATTTTAAAGTCTACTTTATCTGATACGAGTATAGCTACTCCAGCTTACTTTTGATTTCCATTTGCATGGAATATCTTTTTCCATCCCCTCACTTTCAGTCTGTATGTGTCCCTAGGTCTGATGTGGGTCTCTTGTAGACCGCATATATATGGATCTTGTTTTTGTATCCATTCAGCACGCCTGTGTCTTTTGGTTGGAGCATTTAATCCATTCACGTTTAAGGTAATTATCGTTTTGTATGTTCCTATAATCATTTTCATAATTGTTTTTGGGTTTTTTTTTTTGGTAGGTCCTTTTCTTCTCTTGTGTTTCCCACTTAGAGAAGTTCCTTTAGCATTTGTTGGAGAGTTGGTTTGGTGGTGCTGAATTCTCTTAGCCTTTACTTGTCTGTAAAGCTTTTGATTTCTCCATTGAATCTAAATGAGGTTCTTGCCGGGTAGAGTAATCTTGGTTGTAGGTTCTTCCCTTTCATCACTTTAAGTATATCATGCCACTTCCTTCTGGCTTGTAGAGTTTCTGCTGAGATTTCAGCTGTTAACCTTATGGGAGTTCCCTTGTATGTTATTTTTCATTTTTCCCTTGCTGCTTTCGATAACTTTTCTTTGTTTTTAATTTTTGCCAATTTGATTACTATGTGTCTCGGTGTGTTTCTCCTTGGGTTTGTCCTGTATGGGACTCGCTGCACTTCCTGGACTTGGGTGGCTATTTCCTTTCCCATGTTCGGGAAGTTTTCGACTATAATCTCTTCAGATATTTTCTCTGGTCCTATCTCTCTCTCTTCTCCTTCTGGGACCCCTATAATGCGAACATTGTTGCGTTCAATGTTGTCCCAGAGGTCTCTTAGGCTGTCTTCATTTCTTTTCATTCTTTTTTCTTTATTCTGTACCGCAGCAGTGAATTCCACCATTCTGTCTTCCGGGTCACGTATCTGTTCTTCTGCCTCAGTTATTCTGCTATTGATTCCTTCTAGTGTAGTTTTCATTCCAGTTATTGTATTGTTCATCTCTGTTTGTTTGTTGTTTAATTCTTCTAGGTCTTTGTTAGACATTTCTTGCATCTTCTCGATCTGTGCCTCCATTCTTTTTCCGAGGTTCTGGATCATCTTCACTATCATTATTCTGAACTCTTTTTCTGGAAGGCTGTCTATCTCCTCTTCATTTAGTTGTTTTTCTCAGGTTGTATCTTGTTCCTTCGTCTGGTACATAGCCCTCTACCTTTTCATCTTGTGTATCTTTCTGTGAATGTGGTTTTTGTTCCACAGGCTGTAGGATTGTAGTTCTACTTGCTTCTGCTCTCTGCCCTCTGGTAAATGAGGCTATATAAGAGGCTTGATGGGAGGGACTGTTTCTTAAGGTAGGCTTGTATAGCTATAAACTTCCCTCTTAGAACTGCTTTTGCTGCATCCCATAGGTTTTGAGTCGTTGTGTTTTCATTGTCATTTGTTTCAAGGTATTTTCTGATTTCCTCTTTGATTTCTTCAGTGATCTCTTAGTTATGAAGTAGTGTGTTGTTTACCCTCCATGTGTTTGTATTTCTTACAGATTTTTTCCTGTAATTGATATCTAGTCTCATAGCGTTGTGGTCAGAAAAGATACTTGATATCATTTCAATTTTCTTAAATTTACCAAGGCTTGATTTGTGACCCAAGATATGATCTATCCTGGAGAATGTTCCATGAGCACTTGAGAAGAATGTGTATTCTGTTGTTTTTGGATGGAATGTTCTATAAATATCAATTACGTCCATCTTGTTTAATGTATCATTTAAAGCTTGTGTTTCCTTATTTATTTTCATTTTGGATGATCTGTCCATTGGTGAAAGTGGGGTGTTAAAGTCCCCTCCTATGATTGTGTTAGTGTCGATTTCCCCTTTTATGGCTGTTAGTATTTGCCTTATATATTGAGGTACTCCTATGTTGGGTGCATAAATACTTACAGTTGTTATATCTTCTTGGATTGATCCCTTGATCATTATGTAGTGTCCTTCTTTGTCTCTTGTAATAGTCTTTGTTTTAAAGTGTGTTTTGTCTGATATGAGAATTGGTACTCCAGCTTTCATTTGATTTCCATTTGCATGGAATATCTTTTTCCATCCCCTCACTTTCAGTCTGTATGTGTCCCTAGGTCTGAAGTGGGTCTCTTGTAGACAGCATATATATGGGTCTTGTTTTTGTATCCATTCAGCCAGTCTGTGTTTTTTGGTTGGAGCATTTAATCCATTTACATTTAAGGTAATTATCAATATGTATGTTCCTATTACCATTTTCTTTATTGTTTTAGATTTATTATTGTAGGTCTTTTCCTTCTCTTGTGCTTCCTGCCTAGAGAAGTTCCTTTAGCATTTGTTGTAAAGCTGGTTTGGTGGTGCTGAATTCTCTTAGCCTTTGCTTGTCTGTAAAGCTTTGATTTCTCCGTCAAATCTAAATGACATCCTTGCTGGGTAGAGTAATCTTGGTTGTAGGTTTTTCTCTTTCATCACTTTAAATATGTCCTGCCACTCCCTTCTGGCTTGCAGGGATTATGGGGAGTCCCTTATGTGTTACTTGTTTTTCCCTTGCTGCTTTTAATATTTGTTCTTTGTATTTAATTTTTGATAGTTTGATTAATATGTGTCTTGGCATGTTTCTCCTTGGATTTATCCTGTACAGGACTCTCTGTGTTTCCTGGACGTACCTATTTCCTTTCCCATATTAGGGAAGTTTTCAACTATAATCTCTTCAACTATTTTCTCAGTCCCTTTCTTTTTCTCTTCTTCTTCTGGGACCCCTATAATTCGAATATTGGTGCGTTTAATGTCCCAGAGGTCTCTGAGACTGTCAATACTTTTCATTCTTTCTTCTTTCTTCTGCTCTGCTGTAGTTATTTCCACTCTTTTATCTTCCAGGTCACTTATCCGTTCTTCTGCCTCTGTTATTCTGCTATTGATCCCTTCTAGAGAATTTTTAATTTCATTTATTGTGTTGTTCATCTCTGTTTGCTCTTTAGTTCTTCTAGGTCGTTGTTAAACGTTTCTTGTATTTTCTCCATTCTATTTTCAAGATTTTGGATCATCTTTACTATCATTATTCTGAATTCTTTTTCAGGTAGACTGCCTATTTCCTCTTCACTTGTTAGGTCTGGTGGGTTTTTGCCTTGCTCCTTCATCTGCTGTGTGTTTCTCTGTCTTCTCATTTTGTTAAACTTACTGTGTTTGGGGTCTCCTTTCTGCAGGCTGCAGGTTCGTAGTTCCCTTTTTTTTTGGTGTCTGTCCCCAGTGGCTAAGGTTGGTTCAGTGGGTTGTGTAGGCTTCCTGGTGGAGGGGACTAGTGCCTGTGTTCTGGTGGATGAGGCTGGATCTTGTCTTTCTGGTGGGCAGGTCCATGTCTGGTGGTGTGTTTTGGGGTGTCTGTGGCTTTAATATGATTTTAGGCAGCATGTGTGCTAATGGATGGGGTTGTGTTTCTGTCTTGCTAGTTGTTTGTCATAGGGTGTCTTGCAGTGTAACTTGCTGGTCGTTGAATGGAGCTGGGTCTTGGCGTTGAGATGGAGATCTCTGGGAGAATTTTGCCATTCGACATTATGTGGAACTGGGAGGTCTCTTGTGCACCAGTGTCCTGAACTTGGCTCTCCCACCTCAGTGGCACAGCCCTGATGCCTGGCTGGGGCACCAAGAGCCTGTCCTCCACACAGCTCAGAATAAAAGGGAGAAAAAAAAAGAAAGAAAGAAGATAAAATAAAGTAAAATAAAGTTATTAAAATAAAAAATAATTTTTAAGAAAAAATATTTTTTAAGTAATAAAAAAACCCGACAGACAGAACCCTAGGACAAACGGTAAAAGCAAAGCTATACAGACAAAATCACACACAGAAGCATACACATACACACTTACAAAAAGAGAAAAAGGGGAAAAAATATATATATATCGTTGCTCCCAAAGTCCACCTCCTCAATTTGGTATGATTCGTTGTCTATTCAGGTATTCCACAGATGCAGGGTACATGAAGTTGATTGTGGAGATTTAATCCGCTGCTACTGAGGCTGCTGGGAGAGATTTCCCTTTCTCTTCTTTGTTCGCACAGCTCCCGGGATTCAGCTTTGGATTTGGACCCGCCTCTCCCTGTAGGTCACCTGAGGGCATCTGTTCCCCGCCCAGACAGGATGGGGTTAAAGGAGCAGCTGATTCGGGGTCTCTGGCTCACTCAGGCGAGGGGCGGGGTGGGGGAGGGAGGGGTTCAGATGTGGGGTGAGCCTGAGGCGGCAGAGGCCAGCATGACGTTGCACCAGCCTGAGGTGTGCCGTGTGTTCTCCTGGGGAAGGTGTCCCTGGATCACGGGACCCTGGCAGTGGTGGGCTGCACAGGCTCCCAGGAGGGGAGATGTGGACAGTGACCTGTGCTTGCACACAGGCTTCTTCGTGGCGGCAGCAGCAGCCTTAGCGTCTCATGCCCGTCTCTGGGGTCCGCGCTGATAGCCGCGGGTCGCACCCGTCTCTGGAGCTCCTTTAAGCGGCACTCTTAATCCCCTCTTCTCACACACCAGGAAACAAAGGAGCAAGAAAAAGTCTCTTGCCTCTTCGGCAGGTCCAGACTTTTTCCCGGACCCCCTCCCAGCTAGCTGTTGCGCACTAGCCCCCTTCAAGCTCTGTTCACTCAGCCAACCCCAGTCCTCTCTGGGGGATCCGACCTCTGAAGCCCGAGCCTCAGCTCCCAGCCCCCACCCGTCCTGGCGGGTGAGCAGACAAGCCTCTTGGGCTGGTGAGTGCCTGTCGGCACCGATCCTCTGTGCGGGAATCTCACCGCTTTGCCCTCCGCACCCCTGTTGCTGCGCTCTCCTCCTTGGCTCTGAAGCTTCCCCCCTCCGCCACCCACAGTCTCTGCCCGCGAAGGGGCTTCCTAGTGTGTGGAAACCTTTCCTCCTTCACAGCTCCCTCCCACTGGTGCAGGTCCCATCCCTATTCTTTGTCTGTTTTTTCTTTTTTCTTTTACGCTACCCAGGTACATGGGAAGTTTCTTGCCTTTTGGGAGGTCTGAGGTCATCTGCCAGCGTCAGTAGGTGTTCTGTAGGAGCTGTTCCACATGTAGATGTATTTCTGATGTATTTGTCGAGAGGAAGGTGATCTCTGTGTCTTACTCTTCTGCCATCTTGAAGCTCCTCCTCTCTTTCTCTTTTATTTTACCTCATTATAAACTCATATATTGAATTTCATATATTGACCTCATTATAGACCTATGGATTTTTTAAATTCAGTGAGTTATAATCACTATTGTTTTTCTTTCTTATTAAATTGAGGTATAGTCGATTTACAATACCATATTAGTTTCAGGTGTACAACATAGTGATTCACAATTTTTTTAAGTTTTATAGTTTTTATAAGATATTGGCTATATTCCTTTGTGCTGTACAATATATCCTTGTGGCTCATTTATTTTATAAATGTACATTTACTGTACATCTTACTCCCCTACCTCTATTCTTCCCCTCTCCCCTTCCCTCTCCCCACTGGTAACCACTGGTTTGTTCTGAGTATCTATGGGTCTATTTCTTTTTTGCTATATTCACTAGTTTGTTTTATTTTTTGGATTCCACATATAAGTGATATCATACAGTATTTGTCTTTGTCTGACTAATTTCACTAAGCACAGTACCCTCCACATACATCCATGTTATTGCAAATGGCAAAATTTCATTATTTTTTATGGCTGAGTAATATGCCATTGCATATATATACCACATCTTCTTTATCCATTCATCTGTTGATGGACACTTAGGTTGCTTCCATACCTTGGCAATTGTAAATAATGCTGCTGTGAACACCGTGGTGCATATATCTTTTCGAATTAATGTTTTCGTGTTTTTTTGGATATACACTTCAGGAGTGGAATTGCTGGATTGTATGGTAGTTCTGTTTTTAGTTTTTTGAGTAGCCTCCATACTGTTTTCCACAGTGGCTGCACCAATTTACATTCCTAAAGTGTATAAGTGTTCCCATTTCTTCACATCCCCACCGATACTTGTTGTTTGTGGTCTTTCTGATGATACCCATTCTGACAGGTGTGAGGTGATATCTCACTGTAGTTTTGATATGAATTTCTCTGATGATTAGTGATGTTGAGCTTCTTGTCCTGTGCTTGTTGGCCATCTGAATGTCTTCTTTGGAAAAATGTCTGTTCACGTCTTCTGCCTATTTTTTACTGGGTTGTTTGGTTTTTTTTAATGTTGAGTTACATGAGCTGTTTATATATATTTTATATATTAACCCCTTATCATCATATCGTTAGCAAGTATTTTCTCCCATTCAGTAGGTTGTCTTTTTGTTTACCTATTTTTTCCTATGCTGTGGAAAAGCATTTAAGTTTGATTAGGTCCCATTTGTTTATTTTTGTTTTTGTTTCTTTTAGGAGACATATCCAAAAAATATTGCTACAATTTATGTCAAAGAGTGTTCTGCCTATATTTTCTTCTAGGAGTTTTATGGTCTTACATTTAGGTCTTAAATTCATTTTGAGTTTGTTTTTGTATATGGAATGAGAAAATGTTCTAATTTCACTCCTTTACATGTAGCTGTCCAGTTTTCCCAGGACCACTTATTGAATAGGGTGTCTTTTCCCCATTGTATATTCTTGCCTCCTTTGTTGCACATTAATTGACCATAAGTGTTTGGGTTTACTTCTGGGCTCATTATTCTGTTTCATTGATCTGTGTATCTGTTTTTGTGCCAGTACCATACTGTTTTGATTACTGTAGCTTTGTGGTGCAATCTGAGGTTAGGGAGTGTGATAGCTCCAGCTCTGTTCTTCTTTCTCAAGATTGTTTTGGCTATTTGGGGTTTCTTGAGTTTCCACACAAATTTTAAAATTATTTGTTCTAGTTCTGTGAAAAATGCCATTGGTATTTTGATAGGGATTTCATTGAGTCTGTAGGTTGCCTTGGATGGTATGGTCATTTTAACATAAAATTCTTCCAATCTATGAACACAGTATGTTTTTCCATCTGTATCATCTTCAGGTTCTTTCATCAGTGTCTTGTTGTTTTCTGAGTTACAGGTCTTTTACCTCCTTAGGTAGGTTTATTCCTAGGTATTCTATTCTTTTTGATGCTATTGTAAATGGGGTTGTTGTCTTAATTTCTCTTTCTGATAGTTTGTTGTTAGTGTATAGAAATGCAACATATTTATGTATATTAGTTTTGTATCCTACAACTTTACCAGATTCATTGATGAGCCCTAGAAGTTTTTTGGTGCTGTCTTTAGGATTTTCTATGTATATTATCATGTCATCTGCAAACAGTGACAGTTTTACTTCTTCCTTTTAAGTTGGATTCCTTTTATTACTTTTTCTTGTGTGATTGCTGAGGCTGGGCAGTCGCTATTGTTTTTAATGTTCAAATTGTCCCATTTTGGCCCATAGTAGCCTTTTTAGGGTAGCCCCTTTTGAAATGACCCAATCAGTCTTTGAGTGCATACTTGCTTTCTGCTATAATAGACATCCCAGGCTACCTTGTACTCTCCTGCCTCAGACTTGGAGTCAGACCTGGTTCTTTTTAGTGGGGAATGTATCCAGAAATCAACGTATGTATACTAGGTCTGCTCATTATTACTAAAGTGTGCTTATTACATCAAGACTCTTCAGTGGATATAATTAGGAAATACATACGATTTTAAATCAAAGGTTCCTATTATTATTACTTCCAATTCAAATTTACAGGGAGTATCTTTCTTGCACCTTTTTGCATTTTGTTTTATATCTTTCCACTTGGAGTTAAAATCTTCTTTCTTAATCACTTTTAATATGTTTACTTTTTGCTTTATTATACTATATATAAAATAGTTTCAGAATTTTTCAGTAAACTACTTAGTAATGTTTAACATTTCTGTCCTTAGAATGTAACCCACCAAGAAAGCAGTCAGAGTAATATGTTCAAAGACCATCTGAAATAATGTTTTTCTGTGTGGTTATGTTATTATTATGGTAAATATTTTGATTCATTTGTTTCTGGTTGTATTTAATTTTTAAGATTTAATTTTTCTTTCCTCTTTTCTCTTTTATTTTTGGTGTTATCAGCATTTATGTGGTTCAGAAATCAAAACCATAGAGTTGTCTTGCTTCCATCCTTATTCCTTCCACCCCATTCTCACCTATCCCCTTGTTGTCTTCATATTCTTGAAAATTAAACTCATTTAGTGAAGCTTCATTCTCCTAAACAGGGCCTTATTCTCTTAATTGCTATTTTAAATTCTTTGTATATTAATAAGTCACTGTTTCTATGTTCAGAATTTCCCAGAAGTTATTAGGTAGTTTCTATAACATTTGGGAGAACATGACATATAACATCGACATATTTGCTGTATAACTACTTAATATACTGTAACCGCAAGAAATGGGAAATTGAAATTTTAAGCTAGCCAACACTGGCATATTTTAACAAAGCCTGTATAATCTTTGCACTGTGTAATCTTTTTCTTCACCATATAGTACTCATTTTAGAGGAAACAAAAGAACAACCAAGTTATATATTAGATTCTAACCTCAACCCTGTTATTAGTGTACTTTTCAAAGAGAATGGTCATACTTGCTGTCTGTCATTTATTGAAATAAATGATAAATGTAGAAGAAAATGTTAGGTCTCCCCTCAAAAACAGCATATTTTGTATATATATCTGTATATTCATATATAGATATGTATTTCTGTGCATTTGTGTGTGTGTATAAATATCAGAAAATTTCCTAAGGCTGTCATAACAAATTACCACAAGCTTAGTAACTTAAAACCACAGAAATGTATTCTCAGTTCTACAGGTCAGAAGTCCAAAATCAAGGTATTGGCAGGGCCATGCTCCCTCCAGAGGTTCTGGGGGAGAATCCTCCCTTGTCTTTTCCAGCTTCTGGTATCTCCATGTGTTCCTTGGCTCGTAGCTGTACAACTCCAATCTCTGGCTCCAAGTTCACATGGTCTCCTCCTCTCTCTTCTCTAGGTGTCTTTCATAAGGACACTTGTCATTGGATTTAGGGCCTATCTGAATAATCCAGTATGATCTCATCTTAACTCAATTGTGTCTGCAAAGACCCTTTTCCCAAATAAGGTTCCGGTGGTTAGAATAGAACATATCTTTTGGGGTGCCTCCGTTCAGTCCATTAACAAGCACACACATACACACACAGTGGATTCTCATTCGCAGTAGTTATGTTCTACAAAGTCACAGTGAATACTGATTTAGTGAATACTGAACTATTTTTTCTAGGGAAAGTATATATACATATCTCACATAGATTATAATCCTAAATCCTAGAAACAACCTATCCTGGTAGATTCTATTTTCTTTATTTTACAAGAGAGAAAATGATGTTCAGAAGTGGTAAGTGACTTGTCTTGAGGCACGTCATTCACAGGTGCCAGAGTTGAAATTCAAACCCTGTCCACCTGGCCCCAGAACCAGAGCTTCTTGCACTGCCCTGCCCTGCCCCTCCTGTCCTCATCCTCTGTCATCTCTATAGGAGCTGAAATAAGAAAGCAGAGAGTCACCTTGTTGGACCTCAGCTGAGAACATGCATGTGTAGAGCAATTTGAATTTTTTGCTGCCCTGCATATGTCTGCAAATGACTGTGAAAGTGCTGCAATAATTGACTTGCGGGAACAAATAAATTCTAGCGAGTAGGTATATTTGCAAATACAGAATCAGGGAATAATGAGGATCAACTTTATATGTATGTATATATATTTTTTAAATATATTTTGTATCTAATGTAGCTTTGTGGGATGATAGATGATGAAACTTCTGAAAGATTACATAACTCAGTGATCTCATAGCATCATAAGTCAGTGTTAAAAATAGCATCCGTTGGGGACTTCCCTGGTGGTCCAGTGGTTCAAAATCTGCCTTCCAGTGCAGGGGACACAGGTTCAATCCCTGGTTGGGGAGCTGAGATCCCACATGCTGTGGGACAACTAAGCCCACGTGCCACAACTACTGAGCCTGCGTGCTCTGGAGCCCACGTGCCACAACTAGAGAGCCTGCAAGCCTCAACCAAGACCCGATGCAGCCAAATAAATAAATATTTTTTTTTAAATAGTATCTGTTGGAATAGGGAGTTTAGGTTTAAGTTATTTCACCTCTTAGTCAAATGGCTATGACTTAACACAAAATAGTACAGTTTATTTGAAAGATTTGGGATCAATTTAGTATTAAAGTATTTGTTGAGTGTGGAATTTACTCATGCTGTACTTTTTGTTCTAGGTAGATGTGAAAGTGGACCCCAAGGATTTACGAATAGATACATTTCGAGCCAAAGGAGCAGGAGGGCAGCATGTGAATACAACTGATAGTGCTGTCAGACTTGTCCATGTCCCCACAGGTAAGCTAGTCCTTCTGCTTTTGTACTTTTAACTTTTCTTCACATCTTATAAAACTATTTGGCATTTAGAAAGAGTCTTATGTTGTGTCTGGTTCCTTGCACAAACCCTTTAAAGGTGACACTGGGGTCATGGGTCCGAGGTCCCCAAGGTGTTCATATTCCCTTCTGTTTGGAAAAGGAACCTCCTTGGCTGTGTCTATTTAAGAGTGAGGTTCTAAAAGCTGAGTGCATTGGTGCCACTTATCCACTAATAAGTTTCAACTGAAGGGCAGTCAGGTGATTAATCAGCTTTTTTATTAGAGCTCTTCAAATGTCAGCATTTGTAGATCTTTTCTCTTGGGTAGTTTTTCTCCTAAGAAGGATCCTCCTCCAGGACACCTGAGAGTAAGGTCAAGGTCTCACCCTTCAGTAAGCACACTTTTACTTAATCCTTTTTTATTCAGTTATAGGCCTCACACTTGCCTTCCTTTGCACCTATTTAGACTCAAGTCTGGAACTTTCCTTATTTAATTCTCTAAAGACTGTACCTCCTGCTTCCTGCAGATTGAGGGAGGGGACTTGAAGATCTAGTTGTTACATAGACTTTCTGTATCTAGTCCCCAAACTGTCAACCCTGATTTCTGGGGTGCCTCGTTAGTGCCTCAATGCCAGAGCCTGTCTGGCCCTCAGCAGGCAGATGGGCTTGGTTCTGGTCAGCATCTCCCTCGACAGGGGTTCGACCTCACCTTCCTCCTCTCTGCTGAGTCATTTGCCATTCTTCCAGCCTCTTTTTCTTTTTTTTCTTTAATTAATTAATTAAATAAATAATTTGAAATTGAAGTATAGCTGATTAACAATGTTTTAGGTGTACAGCAATCCATCCACTTTGTCTTTATATATTGTGTTTGGAGACTACACTCATCATCTCATTTTATTTCAGACGGAGTTTGTGTTCCTGTTCTTGTTGTTTCAGTGCAATTTATAAAAAAATGTTACTGGAGTATAGTTGATTTACAATGTGTTAATTTCTGCTGTACAGCAAAGTGACTCATTTATAGATATATACGTTCTTTTCTCGTATTCTTTTCCATTATGGCTTATCACAGGATATTGAATATAGTTCCCTGTACTATATAGTAGGACCTTGTTGTTTACCCATCCTGTATATACTAGTTTGCATCTGCTAATCCCACACTCGCCATCCTTCCCTCCTCCCATGCCACCACCCACTTGGCAACCACAGATCTGTTCTCTATGTCTGTCAGTCTGTTTCTGTTTTGTAGATATGTTCATTTGTGTCTTTTTTTTTTTTTTGTAAATCACCTGGGCTTTCTTTTTTTATATATAAATCTATTTATCTTATTTATTTATTTTTGGCTGCGTTGGGTCTTGGTTGCTGTGTGTGGGCTTTCTCTAGTTGCGGCAAGCGGGGGCTACTCTTCGTTGCAGTGCGTGGGCTTCTCATTGTGGTGGCTTCTGTCGTTGCGGGCACGGGATCTAGGCATGCGGGCTTCAGTAGTTGTGGTGCGCAGGCTCTAGAGCGCAGGCTCAGTAGTTGTGGCTCACGGGCTTAGTTGCTCCGTGGCATGTGGGATCTTCCCGGACCAGGACTCGAACCCGTGTCCCCTGCATTGGCAGGTGGATTCTTAACCACTGCGCCACCAGGGAAGCCCTGTGTCGTACTTTAGATTCCCCATATAAGTGATATCATATGGTATTTGTCTTTCTGTTTCTGACTTCACTTAGTATGATAATTTCTAGGTCCATCCACGTTGCTGCAAATGGCATTATTCACTCTTTTTATGGCTGAGTAATATTCCATTGTATACATGCACCACATCTTCTTTATCCATTTATCTGTTGGTGGACATTTAGGTTGTTTCCATGTCTTGGCTATTGTAAATAGTGCAAATAAACATAGGGTTGCATGGATCTTTTCGAATTATAGTTTTGTCTGGGTATATGCCCAGGAATGGGATTGCTGGGTCATATGACAACTCTATTTTTACTTTTCTGAGGAACCTCCATACTGTTTTCCATAATGGCTATACCAACTTACATTCCCACCAGCAGTGTAGGAGGATTCCCTTTTTTCCACACATTCTCTGACATTTATTATTTGTAGACACTTTTTAATGATGGCCATTCTGACCCGTGTGAGGTCGTTTTTGTAGTTTTGATTTTCATTTCTCTAATAGTTAGCAATGATGGGCATCTTTTCATTTGCCTATTGGCCATCTGTATGTCTTCTTTAGAGAAATGTCTATTTAGATCTTCTGCCCATTTTTCGACTGGGTTGTTTGTTTTTTTGTTACTGAGTTGCATGAACTGTGTATATTTTGGAAATTAAGCCCTTGTCCGTCTCTTCATTTACAAATATTTTCTCCCATTCTGAGGGTTGTCTTTTTGTCTTGTTTATGGTTTTCTTTGCTGTATAGACGCTTGTAAGTTTGATTAGATCCCATTTGTTTATTTTTGCTTTTATTTCTATTGCCTTGGGAGACTGACCTAAGAAAACATTGGTAGGATTTATGTCAGAATGTTTTGCCTATGATCTCTTCTAGGAGTTTTATGCTGTCATGTCTTACATTTAAGTCTTTAAGCCATTTTGAGTTTATTTTTGTGGACGGTGAGAGGGTGTGTTCTAAAGTTGTTTTTTTTTTTTTATAGATTTATTTATTTATTTATTTTTGGCTGTGTTGGGTCTTCGTTGCTGCGCACTGGCTTTCTTTAGTTGTGTCGAGTTGGGGCTACTCTTTTTTGTGGTGTGTGGGCTTCTCATTACGGCGGCTTCTCTTGTTGCAGAGCATGGGCTCTAGGCATGCGGGCTTCAGTAGTTGTGTCTCACAGGCTCTAGAGAGCAGGCTCAGTAGTTGTGGCGCACGGGCTTAGTTGCTCCATGGCATGTGGGATCTTCCCGGACCAGGACTTGAACCCATGTCCCCTGCATTGGCAGGCGGATTCTCAACCACTGCACCACCAGGGAAGCCCCTAAAGTTCTTTATTGACTTTCCTTCTATAAGAAACTGTAAAAACCTAGAATTATATACATGAGCAAAATAACAGAAAACATCTAAAACAATCCCCAACAACCATTGTTGGTATGTATCTTTGGTGTATATCCTTTCAGATTCTTTTCTATGCATATATAAATATATCCTTTCTCACCAAAAGTGAAGTTATAATGTTTGTAGCTTACCATAATTTACTTAAGAAATCCACAAGTTGTTGAATACTTAGTGTGTTTTACCTAAACCCTGTATTCTGTATTATAAACAGTAATAATTAGCTTAAGATGAATTAAAAATTAAAAACAAAGTAAAAGGTGACCAAATTTCTGAAAAAAATGAACTAAAATACTTTAAAACATTAGAGGATTATAAAACCACCCTGGGGACATCCCTGGTGGTCCAGTGGTTAAGAATCCGCCTTCCAATGCAAGGGACTCGGGTTCGATCCCTGGTTGGGGAACTAAGATCCCACAGGCTGTGGGGGCAACTAAGCCCACGCACCACAAATAGAGCACCCACGTGCCTCAACTAGAGAGCCCGCATGCCGCAACTAAGACCCGATGCAGCCAAAAATAAGAATAAATAAATAAGTGAATTTAAAAAGTAAAATAAAATAAAGGCACCTTGAGAGCATAGATGGTGTCTTATTCAAAAAGAAAAAAAAAAACATTACACCCTGGTCAGCCATAAATTACTAACTTTGCAAAAGTGACTGATGCTTATATTGCCAGACTACCTTGGGCCAATTTTTTACCCACTTAGATGTGGTTCTTGGACCTAAAGAGGACTTAAGTCTTACCCACAAACCTTTTTTTCAAAGCCCTTTTATAATTTTTTTTTAACAACTCCAGCACCTTGTTTCAACATATTCTACCCCTCCCCTCAGTCCTCTATTCCTGAGGGAGTATTTAACGATTAAATACTCCTCTACAGAAAATGTATTAAAATAGATAATGAAGTGGTTCCCTCAGGAATTACTGAGCTGGTGAGTAAGAAAAGGTCTGGCTTGAGCCGCTGGATGAGAACAGTGCAGGTATATAGACAAAGTTAGTATGGGTCAGCTAATAAGAGGAATTTGGAACAGATCTCATGACCGTCTGGTTATCTTGAAATGGAAACTTTCATATTCCTTTGGGTGCTGAAAAAAAGGATTCCTGATTTAAGAGAGCTCCAGGCAAGTGCTTGGAAGACGTGAGCAAGCTGGTGCCCCAGCCCAAATGCATGGCTGCAATAGAGCAGTCAAGAAATAACATTGAACCAATAAGGGCGAAGCCTGCTTAAAGTTATTAGCAGGTGTGATTGTAGCTTATTTAGACAGGGTGAAAACATAGTTTGAAGAGTAGAATTTTATAGAACTTTTAAAAATCTCCAGCAAAATAGTTACTGCCTTATCAGTGCAACTGGCCTAAGCTAAGAGTGCTTTTGGTTTTTGTGATGCATTAAGGAAAGTACCTTTCACCTCTAGTGTACCTGGGAGCAGGATATAGACCTTCAGAGTGGTAGCTGCAAAGTTAAGAACACAGCCTGAAGTCTCAAGAGTCACCATTTTGGGGCTAGATTTGGGCTGGTAACTGGGCTACACAGTGAGTCAAACCCACCCAAATCCAGAAGTCGACTAACCAAAACATGTGCAGTTAGATATGTTGATTAGCTAGATTTAGAACCAAGACAACTGAGAAACGTTCACTTTAAACTCTTCCTTTTAAAGAGTTTGGGTAGTTTCTTCTTATTGGTTTCTATATATAAAGTCTTTTTTTCTTTTTCCTGTTTTCTGTTATTATTATTATTATTTTTTTTTTTTTTTGCCGTATGTGGGCCTCTCACTGTTGTGGCCTCTCCCGTTGCGGAGCACAGGCTCCAGACGCGCAGGCCCAGCGGCCATGGCTCACGGGCCCAGCCGCTCCGCGGCATGTGGGATCTTCCCAGACCAAGGCATGAACCCGTGTCCCCTGCATCGGCAGGCGGACTCTCAACCACTGCGCCACCAGGGAAGCCCTCTGTTATTTTTTTACTTGAAGTATAGTCGGTTTTTACAATATTATATTAGTTTCAGGTGTACAACATAGTGATTCAATACCTTTACAGATTATATTCCCTTTAAAGTTATTACAAAATAATGGCTGTATTTCCCTGTACTGTACAATATACCCTTCTCATCTGAAATACCTCATTTAGACATCAGAATCTAAAGAGCTATCTAAGCAATTACCATCATGACCCAGGAATAGTTTCTGGAGTGTGCTAAATCTAAAATGTTTTTCATCCTTTTCCTGATTAACCTTTCCCCCTTTAACATGTTCCTCAGTTCTATCTTTTTTATCAGTTTTATTGTGATATAATCGACACGTCATCTCTATTCTAATTTGATTTGTGGAGGCTCCAGTTTATCTCTGATCCCTGTTATTTTTCAGGACTTGTAGTAGAATGCCAACAAGAACGATCACAGGTAAAAAATAAAGAAATAGCTTTGCGTGTGTTGAGAGCTAGACTCTACCAGCAGATTATTGAGAAAGACAAGTGTCAACAACAGAGTGTGAGAAAACTGCAGGTAAGATTTATTGAGTGAAATAACTTAATGCCTCTGTACAGAAAGCCATCATTTTATGCAGAAAATGGAGTAAATATTCTTAATAGAATGGAAATATCTTAGAGCACAGGAAAACATGCTCATTTGTAAATAGTAATAATTTAAGACTGACTGGTTATGGCTAAAGTTGGACATGCCAGTTTGGAAATAAGTAGAGGAGATATGTGTAAACTAAAAATTGTTTCCCAGTTGTTTCCCTCCAGTTTTAGATCATAATTGTCTTTAAAAGAAATTAGTGTAAAAGACAATTCTCTGGAAATTAAGAGATTTTTCAGATTTTTAATTTAAAAACCTATGCTTTTATTATTGTATAACTATTTTTTTTCCTACATTAAAAAAAAAATTATTTTTTTGGTTGCACCAGGTCTTAGTTGCGGCAGGCAGGCTCCTTAGTTGCGGCAGGCAGGCTCCTTAGTTGTGGCATGCATGTGGGATCTAGTTCCCTGACCAGGGATCAAACCCAGGCCTCCTGCATTGGGAGCGTGGAGTCTTATCCACTGCGCCACCAGGGAAGTCCCTATTATTATATAACTTTATGTGGGATCAAAAATATATGGCACTGCAAAAAACTGGTAATACTGCTGCTTCTGATACAGTCTGGGAACCAGGAGTAGAAGAGAGATTAATTTTTTGCTATATACCCTTTTGTACTTTTTGAATTTTGTACTATATACATTTGTATTATTATTTATACAAATATATAAATAGATAAGTTTTAAGCAAAATGAATAAATGTCATTGTCTTAAGTAAACAAAGGGTTGTATGATTTTAAACTCTAAAAAGGTAAACTTTTTCTTTGAGAGAAATTGGAAGAGACAGTGGAACCCAGAAATAACTGTGCTTTTGTGTTATTTGCAGGTAGTTAAACTACGGTAAATTTGGAAAATTTTTGCAGCCTGTTAGGAAAATTAATTGTATAAAACTAAACATTAATTATTCTTTTCACCTAGATGTCCTAGTCCTTCACACTTTTGCCCTTCTTGTTTCCCTTACCCACATTCTAACTTGCAAGTAGTAAAAGTGACAGGATAAATAATTTATTAAGCCTCTATCTGTGGTAATCCCAGCCTGTGGCACAGCATCAGTATACACATTTGCAGATAGGAATGCTCATTTACAAAGCATTACTTCTTGGCAGCTAAGTGATAACATAAACACTGTCAGCTCTGCCACATTTGATTTAATAAAAGACATTGGGTTTTACTTGCCGTTTGACATTTTGGCATCAGATGTTTCACACAGTAATTTTCAAAGTAAGTATTCAAGATCGGCCTTATGTCGATTGTGGGCATGTGTGTCGTCTTTAGTGGTCTGGTTTGAAAGGGCAGAAATGACCTCCGTGTCTCTCAATTAACTTGTCCATCTGTGTGAAATTTTTTAGTAGATATTTCTGACACTTAGGAGTTTTTCTTCAGCTAATATATACAGTAGCTTTTATATGGAAGGCATTATGCCAGGTTCTCAACCCTGGTTCCACTTACCACCTAGAGAGCTTTGTAGATGTCTAGGCCCCATCCCCAGAGATTCTGATATAATTGATCTGGGTGGGATCCTAGGCATAACTGTGGTGCCTTGGGATAGTAGTTTCCAAACCTGGCTGGTTGCAGAATGGATGACCTGGGGACTGTTTTAAAAATACATAATCCATGATTCAGTATATCTTAGGTTAGGTTTTGGAATCTTTCATTTAAAAACATTCCCCTGGTGATCAGCCATACTTAGGACTTCAGTTTCATATTGTTTGCTTTAGAAAGTAAGTTATAGCAATCTTTTTCTTTTATCTTAAAAAGTGAAAGTGAGATACCTGTAACTTATATAATATTGTAGCAACTATGCTTTGATGAAAATAAATAATAAAATAAATTTTAAAATAAAAAGTGAAATAGATAACTAATAAGAACCTGCTGTATAAAAATAAATAAAATTCAAAAAAAGGTAAAAAAATAATAAAAAATAAAATAAAAAGTGAAAGTGAGTGAGAGAGGGTGTTGTGTGCATTGTATGTGGGGGGAGGGAGGGCAGATGAGCAGACTAAGAATACAAATAACCATAGCAAAAGGCAAACTGGTGTGTGGTGAAGAAGATTCCAAGTGCATGGGGTTTTGAAGGAGGAAGATAACATATTTCACATTGGGACCAGGAAAGACAGAGGCGGTAGGAGAGTGTTAAGGAAGGGCACCCCTTGAGATGAGGTTTAAGCAGAGTTAACAGACTTGCACATAATTATGATATGGTATAATAAGTGGCATTATAGAGGTTCATATAATTTTCAGAAATAATGTTGAGAAAGTTGGCCATATTGTGAAGTACCTTGAATACTGAGTTGAGTTGTGTCTGCCTAGTAGACAGGAAGGAGCCAAAGAAGGAAATGTATCAGAAAGCTGGGCTTTAGGAAAGCTAAGCAGGGCAACACAATGTAAGCAGAGAAATGGAAGATTAATCAGGAGATTTTTACAGGAGTGTAATGAAAGTAATGAGCCCTTGAATGATAGGCAGTAGAAATGGAAAGGGCAGGATAGAATAAAAGACCCTTGAAACCACTGGAATTGGGCAGTTAGAGAACGGGATGAGCTGAAGTTCCTTTCACGGTCTGTATCACAGCCTGGCAGATAGTAAGCTACCATGAAATGTTTGTTAAAGTGTAGGATGTCAGGTTTCTTACTTAGATCAAAGGGAACATCATTGTAGGGTCATTTATAGAAACCAGCAGGAAGAACTGACTGAGGTGGAAAGATAATTTGGTTTTAAATATTTGGAGTTTGAGGTACCAAAGAGATGTTAATTCTTATAACTAAGCTTTACAGACCTGTAGTCTTAATAAATTCTGCCCATTCTTATTCCTTGTCACTTTGTGTATATGGATTTAGAAAAGATTTAAACTGTTAAAATAGAAAAGTCATTTACAAGCACTGTTTCTGTTGTAATAAAAGTAATTATAAAGTTAAAATATGAATTGCTTTTTGTTATGACACAGGTGGGAACAAGAGCCCAGTCAGAGAGAATTCGGACATATAATTTCACCCAGGATAGAGTCACTGACCACAGGATAGCATATGAAGTTCGTAATATTAAGGTAATATGAATGAGTATGCTTTATGTGCCTTTGATTTTCAAAGAAAGTATAGTCGAATTCTAGAGAGTAATCTCTGAAATATCACCACGTAATTTAAAAACATTGAGATAGATTATATTAGTACCCCAAATTTGTGAACATTTTTATTAGTTTGCTAGTAAGAAATATGGTCTTTATGTCAGTATGAAACAGCTATCTTTTAAATTCCAAATTCTTTGTTATGTAATCACAATGTATTAATGTATTTTCAGTACATGTCTATCAGTTTTCTTTTACCGATTACCAAATTACTGCAAATTTAGTGGCTTAAAGTAATGCCTATTTATTATCTCACAGTTACTGTAGGTCAGAAAGCCAGGCACGACAGAGCTGAGTTCTCTGCTCTGGGTCTCCCAAAGCTGAAAGGGGCTGGCCAGGCTGCATGCTTTCCTAGAGCGTGGAGTCCTCTTCCAAGCTCAGGTCGTTGTCGGCAATATTCCATTTCCTTGAGTTGTAGGAGTGAAGCCTCCATTTTCTTGCTGGTCATCAGCTGGGTGCTGCTCTCAGCTCCCAAAGACTGACCACAGTTGCTTGCTGTCTAGTCCCCTTCGTGTGCCCTGTCCCATTGCATCTCTTGCAGGAATGGCCTTTTTAAGGGCTCACCTGTTTAGGTGAGGCCTACCTGGATACTATTCCTTTTGATTAACTCAGAGTCAACTAATTAGCCATCTAATCACTGGAGTGATAGTCTAGCGTATTCACAGCTCTGCCTGCACTTAAGGGAGGGAATTTTGCCAGGTGTGTACACCAGGGGACATCTTAGAATTCTGCCTACCACAATGTGTGTTGTCATATTCAGGTGTTACAATGATTCTGTTGGGGGGGAAAAGACCCTGTCAGTTTGGTTTGAACATTCACCTAACTAAATCCCATGTCGTTGGGATCACTGACAGCAATACATTAATGATGAAGCACAGAAAAATTATTTTTCCTTCCATTGAAGGGGAAAGTGAACTGGTTCCCATAAAGACTGTGTGGACAAGGCAGAAGGTAGAAGGTTTTGATCCTTGTCCTTGGTGCTGTGTGATACCTCGGGCTTCTTTCAATTGATTCTGTCTCATTCTGTACACAAAATTAAAGTCCTAGTTTTACAGAGGAAATGTCTGTGTTTTTAACATACTTAGAAATTTCTGTGTATCTTATGCCACTTCCTCTGTCTTTGCAGCAATTTAAAGCTGTCTTGCCTAAGAACATCATAGCCTTGTTGAAAAAGAAAATATTTAGTAGCTTCCCTTTCCTCAGGAAACACACAGTCATAACCAAACATGTTTGGCCATACTGTTCTAATTACACCATAGTCTTTCAGTTGTTTTTCTCGTAGTGGTGATGGTTTTCCATGAGACAGCCACATTCTCATGACCAGTAATACTTTTCAGAAGAGCACATAGGTGCTCAGCATAGTATTCAGTCATGAAACAAAGGCAGATTAACTGGCTTTTATAGTTATAAAATATCTGACGTTGGCCTAAATACTAACACGTTATTACTAACTAAACTAGCATGCCAGACTCAGAAAGAGTAAGGACAGTCATATTGATATGCTCTACAAATCACTGATCAACTTATTGGAAAGAAAGAAAGTGCTCCATATTAGTGAAGGGAAAAAGTTTGAAAATGGTATAAAAAAATGTTGCAGTGAAACGTTAAAATCTGTATGCAGGACAGGAAAGAGACTAGTCAGACTGAATAATTTAGGAACTGAAGAGTTGCAGATGAGGCAGGAAAAGTGCTGAAGGCCTTAACTCCAGGGCCGCCACCACAGGACAGAATGGAAGGAGTGGAGAGGAAAGAAAGTGGGTGCCTGTGGGACTCTGCTCAGCTCTCCTCCCTTATTCTAGAACCTGGTCTTCTCCCTACTCTGTCAGTTTGGTTTGAACATTCACCTAACTAAATCCCATGTCGTCGGGATCACTGACAGTAATACGTTAATGACGTATTACATATTAATAACGTAATACCTGGCCTTCTCCCTACTGCGTCCACATAGTTCCTGACAGAGCTATGTTCCTACATGATCATGATTTTGACCCAAGACAATAATTGATTTGTTGTGGGGGGGGAAATCCAAACAAGCCCCAGTCAATGAGTTTCTTCCCAGGATTTTTAAACTAGAGACAAAGATGCTCATTCTCTTGGTGGATGAAGCTGAAATATATAAAGCTTACAAGAGGTTAGAAGCCACATTTCCAGCCATGGGGAGAAAGCAGTCTTCAGTGAGAGAAGAATGAAGCTGATATATTGAAAGGAGCAAAAATGGGAGAACTGGATGCAAAGAATCCTGATGATATAAATCCCCACGTTCATTTATTCCTGAGGCCCAGCTTCATTCCCAGGGTGGTGGCAGCAGCCCTGTACATTCCTTCCCTTGGGTTCTCTGAGGTCACTCAGTATGCTTATTATGAATTCCCTTGTAGCTAATTTTACTTGTATTTGTGTTTATGTAGATAATAAGCACAGACTACCATGTAATATATTATTTTGTATTTTTATTCTGTTTCCCAAAGTTCTTGTGCAGATTCCTTAGCATCAGCCTATCTCCTGCCCTGTATTCCAATTACACTGGAAATTTACCCTTGTCCTGGGCTTTCAATGTATTTTGTTGCCATACCTTTCTTCATATTCATTCTTTTGACTGAAATGCTCTGTTTGTCTCTATTTGGAGAAATACTATTCTCTTTTTAAGACCTAATTCAAATTTTTCTTCCTTTATTTTTTAATTTCTTGCACTGTATTAAGCTTATGTATTACCTAGGTCTCCCAGTAGATTGTGAGCTTCTGAAAGCTGGGAGCTACAGCTCCTTCATATATTTTTTAAAATTTTTGGCTGCATTAGGTCTTCATTGCTGTGCGTGGGCTTTCTCTAGTTGTGGCAAGCGGGGGCTACTCTTCATTGCTGTACGCGGGCTTCTCTTTGCAGTGGCTTCTTTTGTTGCAGAGCACAGGCCCTAGACACGCGGGCTTCAGTAGTTGTAGCACGCAGGCTCAGTAGTTGTGGCTCGTGGGCTCTAGAGCGCTGGCTCAGTAGTTGTGGTGCACGGGCTTAGTTGCTCTGAGGCATGTGGGATCTTCCTGGACCAGGGATAGAACCCGTGTGCCCTGCATTGGCAGGTGGATTCTTAACCACTGCGCCACCAGGGAAGCCCCAGCTCCTTCATCTTTGATCTTTGCATCGCTAGCACTCTGGTTAATCCAACTGAGCTCTAAATGTGATGTGATTATCAATAAGAGTAATAATCCTTTTAACATAACTTCCAGATGGTGAAGTCACATTGGCAATATCATCATAATTTGAGCTTACAGGCACACTAATTTTAAAAGCAATTTTCATATTGTGTTCAAAATGGTATAAATCTTAATTTTAAAATTTCATCATAGTGCTCTTGCTTTCTGTTTAATTTTAAAGTTTAATCGACATCTTACTATATGCTGGTGTTTTGTGGAATACAAAGATAGTAAGGCATATCTTTTCCCCTACAGTTTAATTTGAAAGAGAAATGTGTACGCTTAACCTGAAATTTAACTTCAAGACCATTCAAGAAAGACTAAATATAAGATTAGTTCATGCCTACATCTGAACTTCAAATGTTCTATGTTCCAGATGCCAACATTAAAATATTTCTGTTAAGCCAATGTCTGGATTTTTAGCATTTCCAAAATAGGAGGCTGTGCTAATTCACTAATCCCAACAACTCTATTACACAGAACCTTTATAACACAAGAAAGGTACTTGAAGTCATTATTTTACTCGTTTCTCAGAGAGAAGCCTCAGGGAAGACTGCAGGGAAGTCTTAACTGAAACAGTTTCCACCCAATGGAATTATTTGGAGGTTAACATGAGAGAGGTTTTTTCCTCAATTTTTTATTTTGAAATGTTAAGCACACATGTTTAAAGACTAGTCCATATATATATACCCTATACCTAGATGCAACAGTTGTGAACATTTTGTTATGTTTGCCTTCTCTTTCTCCTCCACTTCCCCTTTCTCTCTATAGATACACCTGTGTTGCTACTGAAACATTGGAAAGCAAGTTGCAAACCTCAAGACACTTGTCCCCGAAATATTTCAGTATAAATATTTTTCAATTACACAGGACTTGTAGATATTAAAACCGCTGTATTTCTAATTTAAGAAAAAACAGAACTATTATAAACCACTTACGGATTAAATAATTTGAATTTGGATGGTTGGCTAATTTAAAAATGCTAATTTAAACAATTTAAGTAAGAGTTTAATTCCATTTACTCTTTTGGATTCACGTTTTACATAAAAAGGCAAAATTAACTAGGGGTCCTCCCAAGTTAGCAATTGTGTTCATTATATTGTAGATTAGTAATCTTTTGTTGCTATTAAATAATAACTTTAAAGAAATGAAATAAATATATGCTTAATTCTTTGTTTTGTTTCTCCTTTATTTCTGGTAATCAGGTTTTCATAGTAACTCTCTTTCACCAGGAATTTTTATGTGGGGAGAAGTGCCTGGATCAGCTAATTCAGAGACTGCTTCAATCAGCAGATGAAGAAACCATTAATGAATTTTTGGATGAAAATCTTAAATCAGCAAAATAAATACTGATTTATAATTTATTATTATATAAATGAAATGGACCTATGTCAAGAAGCAGACCGAGGTAGGGAAATCTTTATGAAAGTTGATAAAGAGCAGCTAAAAATACATGGTACTCACAAAAATATTTTTTAATGAATCCAGTTACATTTCTTGACCTAAGTTTATTTTAGGTTTCCTGTAAAGTACAATCCAGCTCTTCAAGTAGAAACAAAGCATGCATTGTTGAAAAGAGAAATAAAGTATTGAGAATTGACTATGTGATGTAGGACAGATCACTTGTTCTCTTTATATGCCTTTTCTTTTAACCATCTATAAATTAATTTAGACACATTTCACATCTGTTACTTCAGGACTTTGCCCGTGGTATAATTTAGTGATATAAATTTATAAACTTGTTTGTAAACTCCTATTTAAAGACAAAGTACTATTAATCATGTTAAAGTTAGGACTTAAACTGCTACTTTTATTTTTGATTTTTTTTTTTTTTTTTTTTTGCGGTACGCAGGCCTCTCACTGTTGCGGCCTCTCCCGTTGCGGAGCACAGGCTCCGGACACGCAGGCTCAGCGGCCATGGCTCACGGGCCCAGCCACTCCGCGGCATGTGGGATCTTCCCAGACCGGGGCATGAACCCGTGTCCCCTGCATCGGCAGGCAGACTCTCAACCACTGCGCCACCAGGGAAGCCCTAAACTGCTACTTTTAAATAAAAAAGTAAATAAAAGTTGTGAAGAATATGAGTTGCTAACTGTGAGCATCTCTAGGACATAGATGGTAGAGCTCTTGGAGAGCTGAGTGAACTCTGTAGTGTACAAACTACAAGTCAATATTTAAAGCAGACTCTCTGCTTGGCTTCTATTTCTAATTGTTCTTTGACTTAACAAGCATCAACAGATATGGTGTAATATGAGTAATTCACTGAGGTCGGTTTTGTGCCGTGATATATAAAACCTAGTCCTTACCTTACAGAACTTCCAGCTGAGCAGGGAGCCAAAATATAAGTCCCCAACTCTAATTCAAAGTGGCATGTTGTATTTAGTAATTTTTCTCGGGAAGTTTCTTGAGTGAAAAAGAGAGCGGTTGTTATTTTAGATAGTTTCTCAGAGAGGAACTGTATGCCAGGAAAGGCTAATTAAAATAGAGTTTTAAGACCAATTGAATGATTTGGAGGTAAAGATGAGAGAAATTTTTTCCCAAATTTTTATTTTGAAAATTTTCAAGCACACAGAAAAGTTTTAAAAATAATTTTAAAGAAACAGTTCAATGAATATTTTATCATCTAGATTCAACCATTGTTAATATTTTGCCACATTAGCTTTTTTTGTTTCTCTGTACACACACACACACACACACACACACACACACACACACAGTGGTTGCTGGACTATTTAAAAGTTAGTTGCAGGTCTTATTAACACTACTGAATGTTTCATCACATCCTAGGAAAAAGGACATTCTCATACAAAATTATAACTCCATTATCACACCGATTGTATATCAATAATAATAATATAATAATTATATAATATGATCTAATAGCTATTACATATCAGAATTTCTTCAGTTATCCCCAAAATATCTTTTTTTTAGCTGTTTTTGTTTGTTTTGTCCAATCCAGGATCCAACCAAGACTTACACATTACATTTGCCAGTATCTCTTTAGTTTTTGGATTAATCCCCCAAGTTTTTTTCCGTATGACATTGACCTTTTGAAGAGTCCCACAAGGTTGTTTTGTAGAATAGTCTACATTCTAAATTTGCCTGGCTTGCCCTTAATGTACTATAAAGTAAAATTATGTCTAAAGATTAATTAAATTCAGATTAAACACATTTGGTAAGACTACTTCACAGGTGATGTTGTGATACTGTATCATATCAGGAAGTTCCACTATTAGTGATACTAAGTTTGAAAACTGTCAAATCTCTCCATTGTAATGGTACATGCTCTCCTTAATAATCAGTATGTAATCTGTGGGGTAGTACTTTAGCATCATATAAACATTTAATTTCTCATTGTGCAAGACAGCTTCTGAAATGACCCCAGTGACCCTGTTCCTGGCATTTCATGCACTTGTATAATCTCCCCTTGAATGTGGACCAGATTTATTGACTCTTTACTAACAAATAGAATACAATAGAAGTGGTGGGATTGTCACGTTTGATATTAGGTTGTAAAAAGACTTGCTTCTGGCTCTGTCTCTTTTTTTTTTTAATATAAATTTATTTATTTATTTATTTTTGGCTGCGTTGGGTCTTTGTTGCTGCGTGCGGGCTTTCTCTAGTTGCGGCGAGCAGGGGCTACTCTTCTTTGCAGTGTGTGGGCTTCTCATTGTGGTGGCTTCTCTTGTTGCCGAGGCTTCAGTAGTTGTGGCACGTGGGCTCAGTAGTTGTGCCTCGTGGGCTCTAGAGCGCAGGCTCAGTAGTTGTGGCGCATGGGCTTAGTTGCTCTGCGGCATGTGGGATCTTCCTGGGCCAGGGCTCGAACCCATGTCCCCTCCATTGGCAGGCGGATTCTCAACCACTGCGCCACCAGGGAAGTCCCTTAGCTGGAATACTTTTTTTTTTTTTTTTCAATTTTTATTGCAGTACAGTTGATTCACACTGTTGTGTTAGTTTCAGGTGTACAGCAAAGTGAAGCAAAGTGAATCAGTTATACATATCCATATGTCCACTCTTTTTTTTTAGATTCCTTTCCTGTATAGGCCATTACAGAGTATTGAGTAGAGTTCAGCTGGCATTCTTTAAAGAAAGCTTTCCTTTGTCTTTCCTCTCACTTTCTCTGAGTTGAGAGATAATTTAATCCTATTTGAATCAATATCATGATTCATGATTTCCCTAGGGGTAGGCATTCCCCCCCCCCGGCCCCCCCAATAATTGATGTCTTTGGAGAATCTGCTTTAACTTGAAAGAATGTTGAATAGGGAGTTTGAGTGTTAAAGTTAGAAACACAGAAACTGATTTTTGTTTTCAGGCATTTTATGTAACAGAGAAACGTTTATCCAAGGAAATGTAAATATTAAAACATTGTGTGAAACAAGGCAAAATGAAGATAGTCTAACTTAACGTATTTCCCAAACCTCTGTATTTATACAGATCATTTGGGAAACTTGCCATAATACAGATTCTGATTTAGTAGGTCTGGAGCCTGTGATTCTGCATTTCCGGCAAGCTCCCAGGTGACGATGGATGATGATGAGCCGCAAACACCACTTGGGGTAGCAAGGATCTAGGACATCTGTTATTTAATTAATGAGTACTTTCAGTTGTTATACACTTTATTTTTGTACAGTGAGATTCAGTTAAACTCATAATCTTGCTTTATTCAGATAGACCTTTAGTCTCCTAAACTACAAAGATAAACTTGACATTTTTAACTTTAGTAGAAAAATATTAGGAATGAATATATAAGCCAAAGATAAATCAGGGTTCTTGTAAAAAATCTGGAAAGCCAAAGTTTATTGCCTCATATGCACAACACCTTTAGAATATTAAGGAGTAACAAACTTTATTTAAAAAATAAACCTTAGAGAGATTTTAAAATTGAATTTGAAATTGAGTCAAGGGACCTCGGATCACAAACTACTACAGTCAACTAAAAATTAAAAGAAAATACTTCTAAAATCATAGACTCTAGTATTGGGGGCAACAGTGATTAGGAAGACATGTGTTGGCAGGGGTGGAGCTGTTGGGATGCTGGTAATGTTCTATATCTGGACCTGAGTGGAAGTTACAAGGGTGTATTCATTTTGTGATAATTGCATTTACAATTGAGTTAACTGAGTTTTGTATGCAACTGACAATTGCATACACCCTTGTAACTGCCGGCCCATTCAAGAAGAGAACATTTCCACTGCCTCTGAAAGTTTCCTTGTGCTCCTTTCCAGTCAATCCAGTCATCTGCCAGCTCCCCCTCCCCCAACAGTGGCAACCTCTATTACGATTTTTATTCACCATAGCTTATTTTACTGTTCTGGAACTTCACATCAATGGTCATACGGTATGTACTCCTGTATATCTGGCTTCTTTGTTCAAAAGTTTTTATACTCATTTACAATATTGCAGGTATCAAGGGTTGTTTCGCTTTTATTTCTAAGTAGTATCACACTGTATGAATATACCACAATTCATTTTATTCATTCTTCTATTGATGCACATTTGGATTATTCCCAGTTTCGGCTATTATGGGTAAAGCTACTATGAACATCCTTGCACAGGTCTTTTTGTAGACATGTTTTAATTTCCCTTGGGCAAATGCCTAGGAGTGAAATTGTTGGGCATTTAACATTCAAAGAAACTACCAAACAGTTTTTCAAAGAGGATATATCCATTTATAGTCATAGTATTAACATATGAGGTTTCCAATGGCTCCCTATCATCACCAACATTTAGTATTGTTGATCTTTTTAAGTTTTGCCATTTTCATGGGTATGCAGTGTTTTCTCATTGTGACTTAAATTTGCATTCATCTGATGATGAACGACATGGAGCAGCTTTTCATATGTTTATGGGGTGTATGTATTACGAATATTTTTTCCTAGTCTCTGGCTTGCCTTTTTTTTTTTTTTTTTTTTTTTGCAGTACACGGGCCTCTGACTGTTGTGGCCTCTCCCGTTGCGGAGCACAGGCTCCAGACGCGCAGGCTCAGCGGCCATGGCTCACGGGCCCAGCCGCTCCGCGGCATGTGGGATCTTCCCGGACCGGGGCACGAACCGCGTCCCCTGCATCGGCAGGCGGACCCTCAACCACTGCGCCACCAGGGAAGCCCTGGCTTGCCTTTTTATTTTGTTTTCACTGCTTTTTTGATGGGCAAAAGCTTGTAATCTTGTTGAAGTTCATTTTATCAATTTTTTAAAAAAGATTACTGGTTTTTTTTGTGGCCTAAGAAATCTGCCTACCTCAAAGTTACAGAGATAGGTTTATGTTTTCTTTTAGCAGGTTTATCATTTTCCCTTTTCTATTTAAGTTTTCAATTTAATATTAAGACCCATCTCAATTTAATTTTAGTTTATGGTATAAGGCAGGGGTCAAGATTGTTTTTTGTTTCACATTGTGATCCAGTTGTTCCAACACCATTTGTTGAGAAGACTTTCCTTTCGCCACTGAATTTCACTGATAACAATGCGGTGTTTCTAAATTTAAAAATTCAGTTCCTTGGGCCACTGGCCACATTTCAAGTACTCAAGAGCTACGGGCGGCTCTGGATACTGGATGAGTCAGGGCAGACGTAAAATAGTTACAACATTGCACAAAGATTTGTGATAGCACTGTTCTAGAGCTTAGAGCACAGTACCACTAAATATTTTGGGTTCTGTGAACGGTAAACTAAACCAAATAACAAAGTATGGGCAGATATAAGGAAGGTAAAAATTAATCACTGAACTTATATTAAGTACCTAGAGTAGTCAAATTCAAAGAGACAGGAAGTAAAATGGTAGTTACCAGGGATTTGGGGGAGGAAGAAAGGCGAGTTATTATGAATGGGTACAAAGTTTCAGTTTTGCAAGATATAAAGAGTTCTAGAGATGGGTGGTAGAGTGATGGTGGCAAACCAGTGTGAATATACTTAATGCCAAAGCAATGAACAATTTAAAAATTGTTAAAATGGTAACCTTTATGTTAAGTATATTTTATCAACTTAAAAATTGTTTTTATTGCTTTTCCCCCAGCTGGTGTTAGTGCAGGAGAGAAAGCAATCAGTGTTACTAATGACTTAATTGTCTCTGGTGTACCTGAGGATACCCAATGAAGGTACAGAAGAGATTTTGGAGCCCAGAGCCCCACTTAGCTTAATGTCTCTATCTCGGAGTATTTCCATTAGACCCTCATCAGCTAATAAGAAAAGAGAGAAAAACAATTTGAGAGTTATTCTGCTATATGTTATATACCTACTCATGTAATAATACTAAAGATTTCATTCATTAGGTTATGGTAACACATGGCAAACTAGCAGCAGGAGCAGTCTGGGTTTTTTTGGGTTTTTTTGTTTTTTGGCTGCGTTGGGTCTTTGTTGCTGTGTGCAGGCTTTCTCTAGTTGCAGCGAGTGGCGACTACTCTTCATTGCAGTGTGCAGGCTTCTCATTGTGGTGGCTTCTCTTGTTGCGGAGCACAGGCTCTAGGTGCACGGGCTTCAGTAGTTGTGGCTCACGGGCTCTAGAGTACAGGCTCAGTAGTTGTGGCGCACGGGCTTAGTTGCTCCGTGGCACCTGCTTTGCCACCAGGGAAGTCCCAGGAGCAGTCTGGTTTTTAAATAAAAGATCTCTAACTTAAAAAAATCTCTAAGCCCTTGATTTTGAATATTTAAATGTTGATCAGTACATATGTATATATATAAAACTTTTGTAAAGCATAAACTACTATATCATTTCAAGGAATGTTAGGGCATGTATGAATACCAAGTCTTGAGGATCTTGGGCTTTTGTACAATACAAGGTACGTTTGTTTAAATATTTAAATTTTGGGACTTCCCTGGTGGTCCAGTGGTTAAGAATCTGCCTTCCAATGCAGGGGACATGGGTTCGATCCCTGGTTGGGGAAATAAGATCCCACATGCTGCAGGGCAACTAAGCCTGCACACTGCAACTACTGAGCCCATGCATTCTGGAGCTCGAGTGCCACAACTAGAGAGAAAAGCCTGTGTGCTGCAACAAAAGATCCCGCGTGCCACATCTCAGACCTGATGCAGCCAAAAATAAAAATAAATAAATATTTGAAACAAAAAACCAAATATTTTAATTTAAAACTCTCATTAAAACGCCTTAATAAAGACAATTCCAGAATCTTCAACTGATTTGTGGAAATAAATGAAAGGAGTAGTGTGAGTAATATTCCTATTAAGAAGTTACGAAAATAAGCTTGCTTCCCAGAAGATGAAGTGTTGATTTGGTGAGATGCCACCCTGTCTATGAATATGCCTGATTTGCATATTTAAGGCCATCTATAAATGCTGTTCTCTAAGACCTCATCTTTGTCTAAGACATCCTAATGAACCTACATATTGTTTAGTAATGAAAATACTGTAATACACTTCAGGACTTCCCTGGTGGTGCAGTGGTTAAGGAAACGCCTGTGAATGCAGGGGACACAGGTTTGAGCCCTGATCCGGGAAGATCCCACATGCCGCGGAGCAACTAAGCCCGTGCGCCAGAACTACTGAGCCTGTGCTCTAGAGCCCGTGTGCCACAACTACTGAAGCCCACGTGCGGCAACAAAGACCCAACACAGCCAATAAATAAATAAATAAATAAATAAATTTATTTAAAAAAAGAATCAACCTGCCAATTCAGGGGACACCGGTTTGAGCCCTGGTCCAGGAAGATCCTACATGCCACAGGAGCAACTAAGCCCGTGCGCCACAACTACTGAGCCTGTGCTCTACAGCCTGTGAGCCACAACTATTGAGCCTGCGTGCTTAGAGCCCGTGCTCTGCAACAGAAGCCACCACAACGAGAAGCCCACGCACTATAACAAAGAGTAGCCCCTGCTCGCGGCAACTAGAGAAAGCCCAGGTGCAGCAGTGAAGACCCAATGCAGCCAAAAATAAATAAATAATATTGTAATACACTTCAGAACCTTTGAAAAGAAGCAACATTAAACACTGGAAGTTTTCTTTGCAGAAATTGTTCATGGTTTCAACTAAGTGGGTGCCTCATTTTTCATAAATTCTAAAAGAAAAACCAACACTTATTGAATCTTTACATTTTAGCCACAGTGTAAGCACTTAATTATTGTTCTAATCAACAAATATTTATTGAAGCGCTCTAGGTCCTTCGCAGTTTATCTCATTTCATCCTTACACAGTCCTATGAAATACTATTATCCCCATTTTGCAAAGAGGGAAAAGTTCTCACAGAAAAGTTACACAACTAATGAATACTAAAATGGGGCTTCTACTGTGGAGTTCAAACCCACAGCTCTAAACCGTCAAATCCGGGAGAATAAACGCTTCCCAATTCTGTTAGTCAAAGCAGTCATCCCCCAGAAGCCTCGCGATATTACTCGAACTACTACTCCCAACGTGCAAAGCGGTTTCTGTGAAGCCGCCTAAGCGGCAGAGGCCGGAGGGCCTCGGCGTTCCTCGAGGCGCGGAAGGCAACCTGGGAGCCGTAGTTCTTCTGGACGCCTACCGGTATTGCCAGCGCGGCGGTGGCGGATCGCTCGGTTCCAGCCAGTAGGTACTGTGAGGGCGAGCTGAAGCGGAGAAAGGGCGCGGAACTGGAAACGGGTGAGTCAGGCACTGTCTGCGCGTTAAACAGAGGCGGCACCGCGGCGTAGGGTTGAGTTAAGTTAGCGCGGCCCCCGCGCAGTCTCTTTAGGGACACCGCGGTCTTAGCGTCAGCGAGCAGAGGGTGAGGAGGCGCCAGAGCCCGGTCCTTACACCCGTACTCGTCCTCAGCTCTCCGCCAGCATCTCCACCATGCAGTCCCGGGAAGAAGCTCCGCGCTCTCGCCGCCTTGCCAGTCCCCGCGGCGGAAGGCGGCCCAAGAGGCTTTCCAAGCCCTCGGTTTCGGCTTTTTTCACGGGCCCGGAGGAGCTGAAGGACACGGCCCATTCCGCAGCCCTGCTGGCCCAGCTCAAGTCCTTCTACGACGCGCGGCTGCTCTGTGATGTGACCATCGAGGTGGTCACGCCTGGCAGCGGGCCTGGCACGGGCCGCCTTTTTTCCTGCAACCGTAACGTGCTGGCTGCCGCGTGTCCCTACTTCAAGAGCATGTTCACTGGCGGCATGTACGAGAGTCACCAGACGAACGTGACCATGCACGATGTGGATGCCGAGTCCTTCGAGGTGCTGGTCGATTACTGCTACACGGGTCGTGTGTCATTAAGTGAATCCAACGTGCAGCGCCTGTACGCCGCCTCCGACATGCTGCAGCTCGAGTATGTGCGTGAAGCCTGTGCCTCCTTCCTAGCCCGCCGCCTTGACCTGGCCAACTGCACGGCCATCCTCAAGTTCGCCGATGCCTTCGACCATCACAAGCTGCGATCACAGGCCCAGTCATTTATAGCCCACAACTTCAAGCAGCTCAGCCGCATGGGTTCGATTCGGGAGGAGTCTCTGGCAGATCTGACCCTGGCCCAACTGCTGGCCGTCCTGCGCCTGGACAGTCTAGACGTCGAGAGTGAGCGGACAGTGTGCCACGTGGCGGTGCAGTGGTTGGAGGCGGCTCCCAAGGAGCGGGGTCCCAGCGCTGCAGAAGTCTTCAAGTGTGTCCGCTGGACACACTTCACTGATGAAGATCAGGATTACCTGGAAGGGCTGCTGACCAAGCCCATTGTGAGGAAATACTGTCTGGACCTTATCGAAGGAGCCCTGCAGATGCGGTATGGTGACATGTTGTACAAGTCTCTGGTGCCAAAGCCAGAGAGCAGCAGTGGCTGCAGCTCTCTTGTGTCCATGGCAGAAAATCCACCCCAGAGGCTGGGTATGTGTGCCAAGGAGATGGTGATCTTCTTTGGACATCCCAGAGATCCCTTTCTGTGCTATGACCCATACTCAGGGGACATTTACACAATGCCATCACCTTTGACCAGCTTGGCTCACACTAAGACTGTCACCTCCTCAGCTGTCTGTGTCTCTCCAGACCATGACATCTATCTGGCCGCCCAGCCCAGGAAAGACCTCTGGGTGTATAAACCAGCCCAGAATAGTTGGCAGCAACTTGCTGACCGCCTGCTCTGCCGTGAGGGCATGGATGTGGCATACCTCAATGGCTACATTTACATTTTGGGTGGGCGAGACCCTATTACTGGAGTTAAATTAAAGGAAGTGGAATGCTACAGTGTTCAGAGGAACCAGTGGGCCTTAGTGGCTCCTGTACCGCATTCCTTCTATTCCTTTGAACTAATAGTGGTTCAGAACTATCTTTATGCTGTGAACAGTAAGCGCATGCTCTGCTACGATCCTAGCCATAATATGTGGCTGAACTGTGCTTCTCTTAAACGCAGTGACTTTCAGGAAGCCTGTGTCTTCAATGATGAGATCTATTGTATCTGTGACATCCCAGTCATGAAGGTGTATAACCCAGCCAGGGGAGAATGGAGGCGCATTAGTAATATTCCCCTGGACTCTGAGACCCACAACTATCAGATTGTTAATCATGGCCAAAAGTTGCTCCTCATCACTTCTACAACCCCACAATGGAAAAAAAACCGGGTGACTGTGTATGAATATGATACTAGGGAAGACCAATGGATTAATATAGGTACCATGTTAGGTCTTTTGCAGTTTGACTCTGGGTTTATTTGCCTCTGTGCTCGTGTTTATCCTTCCTGCCTTGAACCTGGTCAGAGTTTCATCACTGAGGAAGATGATGCACGGAGTGAGTCTAGTACTGAATGGGACTTAGATGGATTCAGTGAACTGGACTCTGAGTCAGGAAGTTCAAGTTCTTTTTCTGATGATGAAGTCTGGGTACAGGTAGCACCGCAGCGAAATGCACAGGATCAGCAGGGTTCTTTGTAAATATTTTGAAATACTAAGATGTTTCTACTGCTATGGAATATATCTTAAAAAGATGTCCTTTTCTTTTCTGGAAAAAAAAAATTGATTAGGGCTGCACATTTGGCTTAGAAAGGGTAATGTGTGAATTGCTAATGTCATGTTACAAAGTTTAAACAGTCCGTGAAATCAACTATATAATGATATACTGTGCAGAAGGTCCAGATTAAAGTATGCAAAACAATGAACCATATAATTGATTAGAATGCTTGGTGGTTTTCTTCTTTGTTCAAGTATTTGTTGCACTGGTGAATCGTTTTGATTAGTTACACTGTTTATATTTTGATTATCTAATTTAGTCTTGTTAGTTTTTAAATTCTATTTAGTGTTGTGAGGAAATTAGCTTTTTAATTTTTATATAGAAAATTGGACTAGAAATTGTTGGTAGGGTTTTGAAGGTTTATATCTTCCTTCAGAATAATGAAAGTAGTAGATTTCCCAAATTTTCAAATAGTCAGTTTTTAGGATTCTAAGTTAATACAGTTTGTTAAAATTTGGTTTGGTGTTCTTCTCTTCTGCAAAGAAAAAAATTGGACATATCTATTAAGGTTATTAAAGAGTGATTTCATTTTGATAATGTGCAGAATGGTCTTAAGCACTCACAGAAAGTAAAAAAAAAATCAGGATTCCACTGTTTTAAAAGAAATTTCATTTTTATTTTTGGAATATAAAATGTGTATTTGCTAAATGTGACCATTTTTCTGTCTTAAAAAAGACCCATTCTGGTAGCATCACCAACTATTTAGACCCTTCTAAACCAAAAGCAATAGGTAAGTTGCCATATTTTTTCATCTATATCTGATACATGCTTCGTTGAATCAGGGGAACAATCGTTTTTTCACTGGACATGTGATTGGGTAATGTAAATTTTTATCCGTTGGTCATGCCTTGTCTTAAAACGTTTATATGCTCTCCTACAACATTTTGGCTGTATAATTTTGCTGTTTGTCTTAGAGGATTCTTTAGCAGGAAGTGACTTTTGTGAGTCGATACTGGTTTTGAAAATATGTATAAGCTAAAAACAGTGTTTTATTGAGATCGGTAGTAGTTATTGTGTCTATCATAAAATCCAGTGCCAGAAGAGAACTTTAAAACTTTAAGCTGTGTATAGAATTGTTTTATGTAGCGTTGAAATTTTCTGTCAGTTTTGTAAGTCACTGTAAATGATTATCAGCTTGAAGCTATTTTTGTATTAAAAGTTGACAGTTAAAGAACATAAGTGGATGATAGCGTTTGGGGCCAATAGTGAAAGTATGTTTCCTCTAAAATACTTCCCTAAGCAGTGGTGTACATGGTTATTTTATTAGGTTATTTGTATCTGTCCTATATTTCTCTGTGAACCATGCTCCAGTCTGTTTTTTGTTTGTTTTGTATCACCATAATAAGAGAAGGTCTAGAAATAGAGACTAAATTGCACAACATTGACATTGTTAAATACGAGAACATATAGGTGCTTACTTTTGAGGGTCTGTTAATACATATGGTTGTCACAATACATATACACGATAAATGGTGTATATATACAGATGCTTATGTTCTATAAATTTTTCTATACCCACTTAGTTTATCTTCTTGAATCTTTGTTCAGTAACATGCTAATTCCTCTTCTATGTTTATTCTCTAGTGACCAAATGCTAACATTTTTTCACACTGGCAGAGTACTGAGGTGTGAATTTTGAATAAGAAAAGGGAGGGAGAGAGAAAAGGGTTTAAAAAAGCCAAACACACAAATAATGTTTTCTTAGCCATTTTGATTGGCCACCTGAAGAGTCCACAGGACATTTCTGTTCAGCATTATTTAGTGAAATAAGATTGTCACCCTAGCAGCATGTGTTCCTTCAAAACGGCAAACATTTTTTAGTTTTGTTTGTCCCATATCAGGGGTGTCAACAAGCGCTGCTCTTAACATGGAAAGCTGTATCTTAATAGTATTTTCCGACCGACTTTTCTTCACCAATAACTTCTTGTTGATAGCTTTTTGTTTTGTAAGGTCAAAATAGGACAATGCTGGTCTCAACCACATTATCCATCTACAGAATTAGGGTATGCAGCCAGCTGATAAGAGACAGATTCTCTAATGTGTCATTCTCAACCTCTGAGTTAGGTATAAGCTAATTAGTAGGAAAATATTGGTTTACAAAGAGCTTTTCTTAGAAAGGATTTTGGTTTCATGATATGTTTGTGAATTAGGGAATAGATGTTAATTAACCTTTATTTTATAGATAAGTGATTTGTACATGGTTAGTTACAAATAAAACTGGCACTAGAACCCCAGGCCTTCTGACCTCTTAATTTAGTTTCTGCTAAATGTACAAAACCCTTGCTTACATAGTGAGTGACACAAGTAGCAGTGTTGAAATCCCTTCATCACAGGAAAGCGCCTTTGTCTCAGTTTTACAATTAATTGACACAAAATTTAGCAAATTCTCAATATAATGTCATTTGCAGGATTACTATTTATAAGACTTCGAATGATCTTATTTTTTGTCTCTGTCTGCCTGAAGTCTGAAAAGCTCAGAGAACCCAAATTATTTCAAATAATTTAAATATTCAAACGGTTAGCATTGGTATTTTCAAAAGTATAAAATATAAGACTAATTTAGCAAATAACTTAATTTGGGTTTAGGATTAAATTTAATGTCCTTCTATCTCCTCTAGTTGAGCAGTGTTGTTTTGTTTTGTTTTGTTTTTCTGTTTTGTACCTGGATCTTATTGAGAATCTGATGAAAGCTTTTGACCCATTCCCCAGAAAAATGTACATGTTTATGTTTTCATAATTTCAAAGATGTTATGACACTTCTGCAGCTCATCCACACACCCAGGGTAAGAACACTGTGACAGTCCCAAGAACACTTCAACAAAAAGGAATTAGCATTTTGCACAAGATATATTGCTCAAATGTTTGTAAGGGGGGAAGGGCATTATTAAAATAGAGCTAAAGCAATCATATACATTTACCATCTGAAAGGGATGTGAATATTAATGGGTACCTCAGAACAAAGGCAAAGTTGACACTTGTGAATTTCAAATTTCCTCATGATGATTAACATAAGGACAGTTAAGTAAATGTAAGCGATTTAAAGTAATGGGTCAGGGCTTTCCTGGTGGCGCAGTGGTTAAGAATCCGCCTGCCAATGAGACATGGATTCGATCCCTGGTCCTGGAAGGTCCCACATGCCGCGGAGCAACTAAGCCCGTGCGCCACAACTACTGAGCCTGCGCTCTAGAGCCCGCGAGCCACAACTACTGAGCCCACGTGCCACAACTACCGAAGCCCGCGCACCTAGAGCCCGTGCTCTGCAAAAAGAGAAGCCACTGCAATGAGAAGCCCGCACACTGCAAGGAAGAGTAGCCCCTGCTTGCCACAACTAGAGAAAGCCTGCGACCAGGAACAAAGACCCAACGCAGCCAAAAATAAATAAATTTTTTAAAGTGTATAAAATATGTTACTTTAAAAAAAATAATGGGTCAGATGAGCTAGTGTATATGAAAGCTTTGAAACTTGAGGTGTTATACATACATGTGATATGAATATTGTCTAGGAAGGCTGTGTATATATTAGGATTTAAAGTATATTGTAGGTTCCAGGTGTTTCAAACTGGCCATCACAGATGTTCATTAGATATCTAAATTGCAAGATGTCTAAATTGCAAGAGTTCTTTATCTCATAATGAGCAGGTGAACAGGTGCTTGGAAAAGGGCATCTACCCATAAGGAATCTATTTAAAATATAATTTAAAAATATAAATTTGCTACTCACTGCTCATTAAACTAGAAACCAGTGTTTTGCCTGATGTCATTTTCACCAATTTGTGCTGAAATGAGGAAAAAATATAAAACATAATGAATGAGTTGTAAACTAAAATTATTTAATTGAATTTAATATTCATGAATTGGAAATATAAAAACTTTGCAGTTCTGTGTCAGTCCCTTAAACTTGAAAGTTTACTTATCTTTTTTTTTTTTTAATTTTATTTTTGGCTGCGTTGGGTCTTCATCGCTGTGCGCGGGCTTTCTCTAGTTGCTGTGAGCAGGGGCTACTCTTCATTGCGGTGCACGGGCTTCTCACTGCGGTGGCTTCTCTTGTTGTGGAGCACGGGTTCTAGGCATGTGGGCTTCAGTAGTTGTGGATCACGGGCTCTAGAGCTCAGGCTCAGTAGTTGTGGCGCACGGACTTAGTTGCCCTGCGGCATGTGGGATCTTCCCGGACCAGGGCTCGAACTTGTGTCCCCTGCATTGGCAGGTGGATTCTTAACCACTGTGCCACCAGGGAAGCCCTTGAAAGTTTACTTGTCTTTGAAATCCTAAAATCTGTTGCTTGCTTCTTAGCTGTTTTACTTTTCTCTGTCCTCTCCTCTGATCTCTCCCTTACCTGCTTAAAAATTTCAACATCTTTTCATCGTAACTTTAAAAGAATATTTATTGTAGCAAATATGATAGAGCAAGAAAGTATAGGAAGCAAAATTGTTTATAGAAAATATGGCTAACTACCAATCCTAAGAGAATTAATTGATAGGGTATTTTTAGAACCATAGAGATTGTTAAATATATACAAACCAAATTTTTTTAACAAAACAAAGCAAAACACGATAGTGCTCATAGAAGCTGCCAAGTCTTCAAGTACGAGATAGGCAATACGTTTTATGCCCTCTTGTTGACTCTGGGCCATTTTGTCACCCAGATCCGTTCCATCAGCTGCTGTTCTTCATTTATTTAAGCCTGTGGACTCAACACCATCCAAGACACAGGGTGCAGGGAACAGTATTGTTGAATACCATTCCCCTCCATATCTGAGGCATATTTTCTCAGAAACCATGCTACTCTGTGGGCAGTCACCTCTCCATGACAGAGTCAACCTTTTACATTCTCCTCCAAAGCAATTTTAGCTGCTTGTAAGTACCATGTCTTAATCAGGAATATAGCAGCGGCGCGGGGGCAAACTATCCCTTAATTCTGGGGAAACTAGCAAATAGCAATGGCTGTCACTTCAAGGCACAGCCCGATCCAGTCTTAATATCCTTATGGCTTTCTTTGTACAGAAATGTTTTCCTCTCACTTCATACATTAGTTAGGATCTAGGTGTGGTGGTATGTACAGAGAGACCCTATAGTTGTTTTAATAAGATAGAAGTTTCTCATATAAAAGTCTAATCTGTTATGTAGACCCTGATCTAGGAAGTCACCTGAGACCCACGCTTTTCTGTTTTCCCATTCTGCTACCCTTAGGGTATTGTCCTGGTTCACGTGGCCCAAGCTGGTTCACCCTCATGTCTATATTCCAGCCATGAGGCAAGGAGAAAGGGAAAGGGGGGCGGGGGCATGACCCCTGTGAACGAAGTTGTTCACATCACTTCTGGTCACATGACATTGGCCAGATCTTGACCTTATGTCCACACCTATATGTGTGCTTGAGAAAGGTAGTCTTTATTCTGGGTCAACATGTATCTTATTAAAATTCAAGGGTTCCTTCTTGTAGAATGCTGAGGAAGGGTATTGTGGTATGAATAGCAGTCTCTACTGTACCATCTGTCAGGCTAGATTTTATCACATGGCAGCCAAAATGATTGCCAGGACTCCCCAGACCCACATCCTACCAGCTTAGAAACCCCAGTGGAAAGGCAGTATTTTCTGATATCTCTTGTAGATAATTCCTGGGGGACCTAGGACTCTGAATAACCAAATTGAGTCACTTGTAATAGATGAAGTTGGGAACGTGGAAATGTTGAGGAAGATAGACAAGTAAGGAAATTACCTCAATGAGGATTATAATTCCTACTGTGGCAGACTCTTCAAAGACAGTACAGTTCCAAAGGTGGGAATGTTCAGGTTACAGAGTGTATTTTGTTTTGACCTGATCCTAGGATGTGAGGGGAAACTTGGGATGAGAACAAGCTGGCAAAGCTCTTAAGCATCACATCTTGAAGTCACTGTATGTCACGCCCAAGGAGTTGACTTTTTTTTGCATACAGTGTAAATTCGTTGAGAATTTTTAAGTAGGGACTTGACGTGATTGAATGTTTTGTTGAGACTCCTCTCCGTGCAAAACGGAGGGGGCAAGACCAGTTAAAGGAAGGCAGATGTAGTCCAGACTACTGCAGCCCTCGATGGGGGCAGTTGTTGTGGGCTTGATAAAGAAGGGACAGTTATAAGAGGGGTTAAAGAGATTGAGCTGGACCTATTACTGTATGTTTAGAGATGAGGGAGCTGGGAAAGGAAGTATGAAAGGAGTATGAGAAAGGAAGGACGACAGGCTATTTCCTAAGTTTTCTGCTTCCATATTGTGTGAGAGTACGAGCCGAACATCTATACCAAAGAGACCCTAAAATATAAGACAGAAACTGGTTTCTCTCCATTCAGTCCAGAAGTGAGCTGTTAAGTGTTGGCAGGGTGATTCTGGCTCAATGAGGTTCTTCATGAGCCCAGGTTCCCTCACTGTTTTCCGCCAGCTCCTAATGAGTTGTCTTCATCCTCACGAACAAAGCACACTCACCAGGATTATATCTATGTTGCAGCCTGCAGGGTTGGGGAAAGAGAGGAAATGGAGAGCAAAAAATTCCTTTTTTAAGGACCTTTACACTACTTTTGCCATTTTTCCGCTGGGGAGAATTTAATCGTATCACCTCATCCAGCTGCATGTTTCGGAAATATTGTCATTAGATGCGCAGTATGTGTCCAGCTAAAACTCAGGGTTTCTCTTACTAAACAGATTAATAAATGAATAGATTTTAATATAGATGTGCCCAGGCTTCCTGTATTCAAATGTAGACAGTTCACAACAACATGCGAACTTTATCACTCTGATGGTCATTTCAGATCTCCCTAATCCTCCTTCTATAATAAATTCACAGCCAAAAGTTAAATTCCATATAATGCTGAATAATGATTTTTCACAAACAAATGCATCCCTGAGTGCCTTTAACACACACACACACAAACACTTGTCATATCCTTGCCATTAAGTTCTGTCTCAGTCCAAGTATTCCTAGAAATGACAGAAATTACGCCTCCAGAGTCAGGGTCCTCTCCCTAAGCACCCAAGCTCTTTTCCAATCCTCTCTCCTCTGGGAACTCACCAGTGTAGCCCTCTTACTCATCTCCCACTCCAACGACTCTCCCACTATTATTATAAAAGAGGAAAAAGAATGAGTTTGAGAATACAGGAGTCAGATCAGATTTGGAGACACCAGTGGATGCATGTGGTATCCCATGGCCAACCTCTGACCCCAGCTGCAACTAGGATGGACACCCTCAGGCCATGGTAATAGGCTACTTTAC